AACTACCTCTTTTAGGTGTAGATTTAATCTTCTTTGCATTTAACTAGATGGTTTAGCATTTTCTTCTAAATATATACAATGAGTACATAGAAGTGGGCTTATAACTTTTATATCTGTTATTGTCCATCCAATAACACTTTGGTGATTTTTCAATACTTTTATTAATTATTTTTCTTGATTTTCAAATAAATTTGATGATATGATAACGTGATGAATTTCATCTTTTTCTGAAAAAACATATTTCAAATTAGTTAGAAGAGGCTTTAATTCTGGCTTAAAAACTTTGACATTGGACTCTATAAATTTAGGCAATAAATTTTTACATTCTGAATTTTCTATATTTTCAAACTCATCAATAGATACAAATTCTAATGTATATAATTCTTTTTTCAGAAAAATTTCTTCAAAAATATTTTGAGTTAACGACTTAACACAATTTATTTCATGCACTTCATCTTCTTCTCTAGGTTGTTTTTTATTGTTAAAAATATTCAATTTTAAGGTCATGTTTCCAAATGAAAGTTTCATAACTCCATTTCTACAATTTATCAATGCATTAGATGTAGCCAGAAATAGTTAACCCAAAATAACAGGTATGTATGTAGATGCATAAAAAATTGGTTGTGTATCTAAAACGATAAAATCTATTGAAAAATAAAATTGATCAACTTGGATAATAACATCTTCCACAATCCCTCATTAAGTTTTTATCGATCAGTCTGCTAATTGTAGTGTAACATTAGTAGGTTTCAGCTCACTTAATCCTAATTGTGTATATACTGAATATGACATTAAATTACAGCTCGCTCCAAGATCTAGCAGAGCTTGTTCAATTCAAAAATTTCCAATGATGCATGAGACTGTAGGACTACTTGGATCTTTGTACTTAATAAGAGTGTTATGTTGTATTATAGTACTAACTTGTTCGGTTATAAATGTTTTCTTTGGTACATTTGTTTTTCTTTTTATTATGCAAAGATCTTTTAAAAACTTAGCATAAGCTAGAACTCATTTAATTGCATCCAACAAAGGAATGTTAATCTTAACCTGTTTAAATAGCTCAAAAATTTCAGATTGATCTTTTAAGATGAAGATTTCTTGATCCTTTGAGAAAAAGGTAAAGGAATAGGACATGAATGATATTTTTCATTTTGTATTTGTAGTTGCTTTTCGGCTGAGGGTTCAAGTTCAAGTGGTTCATTAACAAGAATTGACTTACATATTTTTTTTTGAAATTTTAGGTTTAATAGTTTTGTCAATCGCCTTACCACTTCTTAGTATTGTGATTGCTTGTACTTGACTTGGAGAAGATTCAAAAGACATAGAATTAGCTTGACTTTGTGAAGATTTAGGTTGTGAGGAGAATTTTCTCTTTTCTGACATGCTTAGAGATTAAGTCAACTTAACTAGATGACTCTTAATATCTTCAATACTCTGAAAAGTTTGAGTTTTAAAATCATTAAAAGTTTGAGTTGTTTAAGTATTAAAACTCATTTGACTTTGAATAAATTGATTCATAGTATTTTCCAGAGTTATTTTATGTGTGGGTTGATATTGTTGTTGATTCTGTGGTTGTGGTGGACCTTGTGTTTGATTTGTGGGTTATGTATTTCACCAACTAAAATTTGGATGATTTTTCCACCCTGGACTGTAAGTTTAAAAATATGGATTTGGATAAGACTTATTATAAGTTGGAATAGCATTAGATTGTTCAATTAAAACTTTTTTAAATGCAGATATAGTTGGACATTCTGCTGCAAGATGTCTTGACAACTCACAAATTTTACATATTTGGTCAGTAGCAGACACGACAGACACTTGTTTTATTTTTTTTCATATCTAAAGCTTCTAATTTTTGAGATAAATTAGTCATTTTAGCTCTTAAGTCATCATCTTCTTTTAACACATATTTTTCTTTTTCAGATGTAGATGAATTATTTTTCACAATATTTGAAGAAGTCGAATCCCACATCTGGGAACTCTCAAAAATAGTATCAAAATATAGAAATGCTTCTTGAGGGGTTTTACTCATAAATTCCCCCTGGGCCATCATTTCAACAAATTGTTGCATTGCAAGTGGAAGAACATCATAAAAAAAATCAACTAAAGTCCAGTTTTCAAATGTATGACGTGGACAAGTTTGGAGAAGATCTTTAAATCTTTCCAACATTGATAAAAAGTTTCACCTTCTTTTACAGAAAAATTCATTATCTAACATCTTAATGTATTTGTACGATGCAGGGGAAAAAACTTTTTAAAGAACTCAGTTAGTAAAGCATGTCAATTTGTAATAGCATTAGCTCTTAAATATTTAAGTCATTGTTTAGCTTTGTCTTTTAACGAAAAAGGAAAAAGTTTTAATTTGGTCATTTCAAAGTTATCTTGCAAAGTTCCACAGACTTACTCAAAATCTTTCATATGCACATAAGGATTTCCAATTTCCAAACCATAAAACTGTGGTAATAACTGTATTGTTTCTAGATTAATATTAAGATTTGGAGCATCTGTTGGAAAAGAAAAACATGACGGAACATTAGTTCATGTAGGATGTAAATATTCTCCTAATGGTCGAATATTTTGAATTATTTCTTGTTTTCTAGGATGTTGTTCCCTAGGTACGTTTTGAGTCATACTTAATTCAAATGATGATTGTGTCGATGAAGATGAAATAGATGACTGATTTACAGAACCTACTGATGAATGAATAGACATAAACTTTTTTTAAAAAAGAGAAAACAAACAATCTATATACCTATAATACAAGTAAATAACTTCTCTATTTTATTTAATTTCAAATTACCGTAACGTCTTTCTCAAGGGTATTGTGTGAATATTTAGTCATCCATTAAACTTCATATAAAGAAGTTTCTATAACTCAACTTGTGATTGCCTTGAGTTCCGAGATAGAGAAATAGAGTCTCGGGATCCACAGTGAGTTGGTGTGATCTATGGTAGTCGGATAGGTCAGCAAGTATTTCGGAGTTAGTGACGTAATTCAAACCTTCATCGAAATAGCCGGCGTCAAATACGAGTGAGTCGTTGTGATCTCTCGTAGTCGGATAAGTCAGTAAGCATTTCAGAATTAGTGACATAATTCAAACCTTCATCAAAAGAGCCAGAGTCGAATACGAGTTGAACCCGGGTCAAGGTTCATCGGGAGAGGCATGAAACAAGAGTACAACTTACAGCTAAGAAATCTAGCTAGTAATATAAGTATATAATCCATATTTTAATTTCATTTAGGGGTGGGGACCTAAGAAATACTCATATAAATGGTAGAAATAATATCTATATAATAAAGTAAGTAGAAAAATTTGTTTTAAACTTTTCACAGTTCAGTTCGCTTGACAACTATTAAACCAACGGTCCTCATGCGAAATTTTTTTAAAACTCTTATCTCTCATCTAACTCTATTTCTCTTTCTCTATCTATCTCATGCTAATTGACATAACTATCTCTCCCTCTGTCTCATTGTCTCTCTTATCTCATCTCTTAAACGGCTATATATATTTAATAATAATAAAAAAATTTAATACCTATTAAAACTCTAATAACAAGTATTATTTTTAATAAATTATAGGTTCATTAACATATGTCATAAACCAAGAATTTTATTTGGGGGGCACTTTAATTCTACACTCTAATTTTTTTTTTCTCCTAACCAATTATACTATAAAATATATTTATATTTATTATATCATATTTGATACATGAAGTCTATTTAACATAAAAAGGCCAAAAAATAATGTATATTGTATATGTATACAAAATTGACTAATTATTACCATTGTAAAAAAGTAAAGCTAATTGTCATTTTTATAATTAAAAAATATCAATTATTCCCTAACAATCTATTAAATTTATTCAATAAATGATGTTCTAAATATTATCAACATTATCGCTAAAATATTAACGAAGTAAAACTATTAAACGAAAATTTAAGAGGTAACCTCATTAAAAAAATAAAAATCAATTGACACATAATAAAGATTATAATTAATATTCGAATACAAATAAAAGACAATTTTTCGTAGAAATAGCAAAGTCAAATAAAGATCAATTGAAAAAAATTTCACTTACAAAAATTCATAATAAAGTAGAGGTTATTTGAAGAAAGCCTTATTATAAAAAAAAACTAAATAATTGAAATAAAAAAATTATACAGTGAGCATAAGTAACAAAAATATGTGTAGAATATATAAATATAAATATCATATTTTTTAAAAAACAAATTCATCCCTATGTAGCTCTATCTGTGTATTTCATCATATATAGATAATATCTATCTATTTATATCTATATCTATATGGTCTTAATTGGATTTTCATTCTTTTTATATTTCTCTCTCCTATCTCTCACATATTTTAAACACACTCTCATGTAACTCTGTTTGTCTTTCTAGCCCATACTCACACACATACACACACTCTTTCTGTCTTAAAAGCATATAATAATAAAGTAATAGGAGTTGGAGAGTTTATATCTAATAATAACAAAACACATTTAATACTCATTACAACTCTAATTTCTCTGTCTCTCTAGATCATACTCTCACCTTTCATAAGTTTATCTCATCTTTCATATAACTCTTTCTCTCTCTCTTTCTCTCTCGATACACATGTTAATATCAGCTCCAACCCAAAAAAATTTATATTGATTAAATATATAAAATTTTGTACATGTTGATGTTTTTTAAAAGTCATTTTTAGAGAAATTGTCAATATATTTTTAAAAATAGTGTTGTCAAATTAATTTTGAGTTGTGTAACTACAAAAAATAATAAGATACTATTTCAAAATAACCAATACTAGAGATTTTTTAAGTTATTTAGTGCCTTTAAGCACAGGTTATTACCAATACAAAATAATATATATGGGTAAAACTATATTATTGATTGTAATTAGTTTTTTAGTGTGTTTGTTCATTATGTGATTGTGCATTTATTCTAATTTTTCATCTTTCAAAATAAAAGGGAAGCATCGAACGGAAATAATAAGCCACCAAAAACAAAAAATTAAATAATATCATAATGAAATATACCAAATAAAGCAGCATTATCGAACTGCTGTTGACAAGGGCTGCAGAATTGCTTTATCCATCTATGGCATTTTGTGATGTAAAGAATGCAGAAAATTGGCACACAGTCATTATTATCTTAGACTCGGCTATCCATCTGCAAATGTTGAGTCAAAAACATTCTGAAGGACTGGTTCGTAAATGAATGATTCATTTGACTGTCCCATCCTTTCCACGTTTGTGGGATGCTGGGATATTTTCTGACAAAGATGACCCTATACACAGCATAAGAGGATATACAGGACTAAATTCCTTGTCTCCTCTTGCCCTAACCTTTGCAGCATAATCATCCAGAGTTGCTTTGACACCTTTCCAAATCTGATCCTCTCCCTGAGAATCCAACCATAAGGAATACTGCACAGGCGTAAGTTTGTTTCTTTGCAAAGGTGACTGCAGTTCTTCTGGGCCTCGAGAGTAGAGATGGTGAAGTATGACGCTTGGAGGCAGATCTTGAAGAAGAGGAGATGCTCCCAGTTGAGATGTTTCCAAGAAAATAACAGGCCTAAATGCTCGAAGGGCTCGGTATGGTGCACCAAGCTGTTCTACCGGGAACAAATTCTGTCCCACGGCTAATTCCAGCTCAGCCATGTCCTTAGCCATTCTCAGCTTGCCAGATTCCGAAAGAGGTCTAACAAGCGAAGCATGTCTGATAAAGAATATCAGAACCCGAGAAGCCATGCTCCTAACAAGTCTAGTGCATATCGGTTCGGTCCCAGTTGAGGTAGAATTCGCTGAAAAAGGCAACAGCCGAGAAAGGAATTCACTACGGAAATGAAGAATGCATTTCTGCAACTCTTCCATGTAAGGTGACGCATTGTTGTCCATAGCAGCATCCATGCCAAGCACGCCAAAGTTCTGCTCGTGAATTTGCAAGATGCAAGACTCGAGCCGGTCAAGCATGGCTTGGAATAAAGATGTCACTGAATCACAAGCTACACCATATATTGTACCCAATGCAGGAGACAAGACATCAGAGGCAACAGTGGGCAGTCCTGTCATCATAGATGATATGCGTGTATGAATTTCCTGCAGATGCTGACACAATGTGAAGTTTTTGATCTGCGCCGGAGTAGCAGGGCCTGTAATTTGACGTGCTTCAGGGCCAGTAGATATCTGCCATCAGAATACTCTAGGATGGTTTAATGCAAAACTAAAACCAGAATAAAGGATAACCACACGCAGGCTTTGCAATACAATCAGGCGCCATGAGATATTTCATTCACCAATTTACTATGAATACTACATAAATTGGAGTGTGCATTAAATATAACAGCACATACCCACTTTTGACTTAGAAATCTTTGATGGTCAAACATTACAGATTTTATAAAATAAAAATATAGACATCAGGAGTGGTGACCTTAAATCCTGTAACAATAATGAGCGTATGCATTCCTACTGATGCCAAAGAATGAAGTTACACAATTTTCTTGTCAGGCATCTCAACCTACTTTGTAATAATGTTTCCCATGATCCTGTTGCTACACTATTCATTATTGAGCATTCCAATTGTTTGTATGTGCAAATGGATCATAATATGCACATAAATCACCAAAACACCACCCATAAACTCCCTAATCTCTGACCAAGTGCGCTCATTGTTTGTGTCTTTTGAAATTTCATCTAAATTATAGTGAAAGCTGTCGTATATTTTCAAAACTTTTATACGCTATTCTTATATATACTTTTCATTTTTAAATTTAATCTATGTTATACAATGACAATTTATGAATTTCCCCATAAAAAATGTATGTTGAAGTTCCTTTCATCTCATTCTGTAGGCTCATTTTTTCTTCTATAGATCTATTTACTGTAGAGCAACAAAGGGATGAATGCAAATCCATAGTGCAAACAAAGAAAAGTAAAGAAGTCACTGTAGAGCACCAAGTGGGATAAAAACCTATGTACACAATGTATACAAAAAACAAAGAACAGAGGGTTATAGTGGGATACAATAAAAGATGTACAGTTTCTTCCCTCGAGCCTCAAAAAATTAAAAAAAATTAAAAACAATAAAGGAGTATAATGGGAAAAGGACTTGCCCTAAATCAAACGTATTTGAAGGGTCTACAAAACATGGTTATAAGGTCAAAGGTCAAATTCACAAAAAACCAAACAAGTGACAATCTGAAAATTGTTGAATTGAATGAGAATTCTCCAATATAACAACATTTCAGGGAAAATATCCAACGTAAAAAGTCCTACTTAAACCCCATTATGACTGCTGGTGAAGCCTTTCAGGATGTGATTTAGTGGAGAAGTCTCAAAAACAAAAAAATCTGTTCCAAGAAGAAGAGAAGATGAAGAGGGAGAATGCATCGATGACTCCATAGGGTTAGGTTTGCTCTCCATTTGTCGTTTACAAAAAGGGAGACAATGATAGATGGCCTGACCCTCTCAAGGCAATTTTAAAAGTCCCCCAAGTCATAGCAAGAAGTTATTAAAAAAGGAAAAATAAAAACACCAACTGCCAACACCCAACATCTCCCGTCCTTTCCATTTTCTTAGGTCTGTTTTCGTACATTCTTTAAAGGTTTCTCTACTTCTCCAACTTCATACTTCCTTTTCTGAAAAACAACTGTATTTCATTTTACCTTTTTCAAACGGGATTTCTATTAAGTAGTTCTCTCAATTGTTGAACATAACATTCCGAAAAAAAAAAAAAACCACAGCTATTCCAGCAGTTGACTACAGAAAGTCTCTAAATCAATTAAATCCGATTCCCAAATAATATTGGGGACAAATAATTTGCCAATATACTACTCAGGCATGCCATTGTTTAGGTAATAGGTTGAGGATCAGCAATTGATAACTATTAGAACATATATAAACTAGGTCAATTTTCATACTTCTCCTCTACTAAAATCTCAAGACATATTCAATGGGGTCATATAATAATTCCACTTATCTTGTAGCAGTCATTTGTTTTGCAATTATATTACAAGTACATTTTGCCATATTTTACTGATTTTACAAACTTAAACCAGAGACTAGTTCACTCTTCTTCTCATAAACGGATGAAATGTTTTTATATTTTTGACAGGAAACAAGCTCTTGTATTAATAAATAAAAGAGAGGTTGGATAAGAAAGCCAACCAAGAAATGGAAAGAAAAATGATAGAAAAAATAAACCTACAAATCATATGAACCCGCTAGAATAGCAAAAAGTGGAATTCCTTTGAACTCTTTTGAAATCGAAGCCCCCAAAGATGCAAAAGTCCTTCCACGCACGCGCTTCAATCTTTAAAAGTTTGTGTTTTGTTCCTTCCAAATAACTCAAAATGTAATAACACAATTCCAAAGAATAACACTTATATCAAACCTTCTAAAACCTTTCACATCTTCAACAAACAAGGAAGATGATATTTGTTGGAATCAATGTGACCAGGATCGCAGGTAGATTGGGTATGCAATGCGGTGGGGTTAGGTTTAGTCAATCTTGGGTCACGGTTCGTTTTGGTACTCCTATGTTGGTTGCCAATATTAGGGACAAATAATTTGTCAATATACTACTCGAGCATGCCATTATTTTGCCAATAGGTTGAGGATTAGCAATTGGTAACTACTATAACATATATGAACTAGGTCATTTTTCATATTTCTCCCCTGCTAAAATATCAAGACATATTCAATGGGATCTTATAATAATTCCACTTATCTTGCGGCAGTCATGGGGATTTTGTGTTTTGCAATTATATTACAAAGTACATTTTGCCATATTTTACTGAGTTTACCAACTTAAACCACAAATTAGTTCACTCTCCATCTCATATACAAATGAAATGTTTTTTATATTTTTGATAGGAAACAAGCTCTTGTATTAATAAATAAAAGAGAGTACATAAACAGAGGTCGGATAAGAAACCCAACCAAGAAAAGGAAAGAAAAATGACAAAAAAAATACGCCTATAAATCACATGAACCAGCTAGAATAGCAAAAAGTGAAATTTCGTTTAACTCTTTTGAAATCGAAGCCCACAAAGACGCAAAAGTCCTTCCACACAGTCAGTTCAATCTTCAAAAGTTCTTGTATTTTATTCCTTCCAAATAACCCAAAGCGTAGCCATAATAGCACAATTCTAAAGAGTAACACTTTTATCAAACCTTCTAAAACCTTCACATCTTCAACAAACAAGGAAGATGATATTGCTAGAATCAATGTAACCTGGATCGCAGGTCGATTTGATACGTGGTACAACTATGGCTATGCAGCACGATAATTTCTCTATATGTGATGCAATGGGAGTAGGTTTAGTTGATCTTAGGTCACACTTCATTTTGGTACTCCTATGTTGGTTGCTTTCACTATTACACAATAAATTTTATATTCTCATAAATAAAAATATCTACACATATAACCATTGGGTTGTAAATGCTAGTATAGTGGATGACTTATAAAGGAGGTCATTTCATCACTTGTCCCCTCTCTACCCCAACCACCTTTTATTGCCTATAGAAGGCCTCCGAAATTCTTCAAATATGTATCCGAAAAGAAGAACGAAAGAAAGAAATAAAAGAGAAGAAAATATATAGTGTGATCCTAAAGATCGACACTTTGATATATTAAGTTCCTGAAGGACTTATTTTTTATATATTATGTACATTGCTCTCTTTATATTTGTTGATATTTAATTAAGTTCACAAGACGTTATCAGCACAAGCCTCTAACCATTCAACGAAAGATTCCGTCGATTTGATACGTGGTACAACTATGGCTATGCAGCACGATAATTTCTCTATATGTGATGCAATGGGAGTAGGTTTAGTTGATCTTAGGTCACACTTCATTTTGGTACTCCTATGTTGGTTGCTTTCACTATTACACAATAAATTTTATATTCTCATAAATAAAAATATCTACACATATAACCATTGGGTTGTAAATGCTAGTATAGTGGATGACTTATAAAGGAGGTCATTTCATCACTTGTCCCCTCTCTACCCCAACCACCTTTTATTGCCTATAGAAGGCCTCCGAAATTCTTCAAATATGTATCCGAAAAGAAGAACGAAAGAAAGAAATAAAAGAGAAGAAAATATATAGTGTGATCCTAAAGATCGACACTTTGATATATTAAGTTCCTGAAGGACTTATTTTTTATATATTATGTACATTGCTCTCTTTATATTTGTTGATATTTAATTAAGTTCACAAGACGTTATCAGCACAAGCCTCTAACCATTCAATGAAAGATTCCGTTTTTAAAAAGAATTTTGAAGTTAAAGAACAGTAAGTTTTAAATATTATATATTGTTATTGAAAGCTTCTTTACAATTTAATGTGTTATTTGATCTATCAATTTATTGAAAAAAAAAATTCAAAAAAGTCCTGAAAACTCCCGATCAATTTATATAATTTAAAGAAGTCCTAAAGATTTCAGAAGTCCTAATGACTTTAGATTACTATTTACAATTCATGAAATTCTTGAAGACTTTGTCATGATTTAAAGTTCTATGAACTTTAATTTTATGCATTAAATTATTATTGCTCTTATGCTACTCTATAAATTAAGATGACTTTTGCTACAAGTCATATATTTACATTTTAAATTTGTGTCAATAGCTATTGATAAAATATTATCCTAATAAACTCATGACTTTAATTGATGCTCATAATTCATGAACAGTTAGGCAAGTTTCGTTAGTAATTTCGTACAATTTACTATCACATTTATTAATTCATTATTTATTGGTGCTACATTTTTTCATTTATAGTAATGTCAAATCTCTCAAAACTTGAATTTACTACCCTTGCCATTTCTAAAATAATTATGTCATGGATGCTTAATGCTGAAACCCACCTAACTACTATGCAACTAGAGGATACAATCGCGGCAAAGAATATCGCATCCACGTGGAATCGCGCAAAAGTCCTAATTTACCTTCGTTACCATGTAGATGAAGGATTGAAAAACGAATATCTCACAATAAATGATCAACTAGATCTCTGGAATAATTTGAAGGAAATGTATGACCATCAAAAAACAATTATTTTGTCATATCCTTGGAATGAATGGACCCACCTGAGGTTGCTAGATTTTAAAAGTGTGAACGAGTATAATTTGGGGTTGTTCAAATCAGTTCACAACCGACATTATGTGAAAAAACTATTACTAAGACATTGTTGAAAAACAAGATGGCATTTCCGAGATGAAATAAAAATTGGATGAAAAGTTAGAAAAAAGGTAATTTATCATGAATGCATATTTATACATTTTTGTTAGTCGAATTTGTGTAGACCTACAGGTCTAACCGAGATGGTTAACCCCACCTTGAGGGAGTGGAGGTCACCGTTTCGAATCTATTGTCTAACTATTGTAATAATAATAATAAATAAATAAATAAAATTGCATAAGAACACTAGTAAATTGCCAAAACAAAAAACAACTGCATTACAAGCTTTCTTTGATAAATATTTACATCAAATAATGCTATAGGAATCATGACCATTGTGATAAAGTAATACACAAAAGAAAAAGAAAATTATTATTACATAGAAAACAATACAAAAGAGATAGAAAAGAGGTTGTGAGATATTTTAGGAGCTACAGAAAATTTAGAAGAAATAATCTTGTTTTCTATGGCTTGTATCCTATAACATATCTATAATATATAATATAAAATACGGCAGGCATCAATAAACTCATCCGATGATCTCCAATAAACTTATCCAACAATCACCATCCCTCTCAAAACTATTCACATTGAACCGCGTCAGACATAGGTTACCCCTAATACAAATATACCCCTGATCAAAGAAACAAATATCTTTACGTGATCTAATATTTGCAAGTGCAATTAAATGAAGGTACTAACAATTTGGTTCACACTTTGGTTCACACGTGGGTAGCCGCTAATAATGACTGCGAATCTTGAAATAAATGGTGAGGATGAAGGTTTCATATATAGCGATTCAACGCATACTATCCTTCGAAATAAAAAACCTTTCTCAAAATTTAACGTTGGCTGAAGCCAATGTAAATATAATATCAAGTTCTACAGTTCTGATTGAAAGCTCCAAAAGCTCAAATAGAACAAAATTCCATATCAACGATATTTTATATTCAAATCCAAAAGAAAACTTCTAAGTTTTAAATATATATGTCGTAATAGATTTCATATTGGGACTATGAATAAAGGTAATACTGAATATTTCTATATTATTGGAATTATTTCCAGCTAGGAGCTAATATTAGACAAACTTATCGCTTTCTCTTAAGAACCAGAAGATTCTTTTACCTATTAATTATCCATGTATTGTACAATCATAAGGTAAATTGATTATTAGACCATCTCCTGTAAAAGTCAATGTCAAATCGCCAACTTTTCTCCAAATAATTCAAAGAGATATATGTGGACCATTTTGTTATTTTATGATCTTGATATATGCATCAAAAATGTGGTCACCTCTCTTTATTATTTTACTCGTAACATCATTTTTGCTCATTTTCTTACCCAAATAATTCGTTTGCGAGCACAATTTCTACATTATCTAATCAAGACAATTCGTTTTGATAATGCGGGTGAATTTACATCCCAAATATTTGATGATTATTAAATATCTGTCGAGATTGATGCTGAGTATTCAGTTGCTCACACTCATACCCAAATACTCTAACCAAATCTTTTATCAAAAGACTTCAATTGATTCAACCTTTACTAATGAGGACAAAGTTACCCATTTCTATTTAGGGACATGTTATTTTACACACAGTACCTTTAGTTCATATTCGACCAAGTGTCTATCATCAATATTCGCTTGTATTTGGTCAATCCCCAATTAATTCTTATCTACGAACTTTTAATTGTGTTGTACATGTCTCAAATTGTACCCCCACAATATATACTAAAATGGATCCTCAATCCATTTTCACCCAAATGCCCAATTGTTAAAGTTACTATAGAACATAAACCACAATCCATTTACCATCATCTTTCAACAAACAAAACTAGAATAAGAAATAATGCTGAACCTACTATTAAATCATATATAAAAAATATATTAACTAGGATTCATCTAAAGCAAAAACTGGAAATTATAGTTCGCCAAATAACAAAAAAGATTAGTTGCATGTTCAAATCTAGATCACATAGAGCACGAGTGCGAGAGTGATATTTCAAAAAAAAAAAATTTAAGATGGAGATCGCCCATCATACTATATACATACATACACAAAATACACCTTAAAATTTTAAATTATTTTAAAATTATTTAACTATCAATTTGGATTTTTGAATCCCACAAAATTCGGATAAAAAATGATTCCACGAAAAGGGTCAAAAGGCATTTTCATGCCTTATTCAAGTGAGGTACACATCCCACATCTACTATGAAGGAAGAACCCACACCTAGTATTGTCTATAAAAGATGGGCAGCACTCCTTGTTGGCTTGCATTGAGATTTCTGCGTAACACTAGCTCGAAAGCTTATTTTGGCATTGAGTACACCTTTTGGCAAAAAGCCTGACTTGTGAAGTTTAAATGGGTTTTTTTAATAATTTATTGAAGGTAGCAAATTATAAGAAAGAATTGGCAAATTCAAATATTTGAGTTCACGAATTTATAACAAAACCGCTTTGAATTCACGAATTCATGAGCGGAGCGAGAAAATGTGAGTAGGAGTTGGCGAATCATGTGACTTAGGTTCAAATGTTATCGCTAATTGGGATAATAGCCATGAAAATGAATCCCTACAACAGTTCATGCAAAACTGGAACGATAAAAAATCCTCAGAAACCATGATTCAATTTTCTATTAAAGAAATGATATAACTTTGACATATAATGGGTGGTGCCCTATGTCCCTTATATAATTAGGATATAACATTGTCCGTTAGACGATAGCTACACACTTCGCACCACAATCTTTCAACAAAAAGACTGGAACTACTTAGTCAAACACATTTGTCTTCAAAGAAATCCACAAAATTTGACATCTTAAGACCCAAAATGAATTAGGTAAAATGTAGTTCTGCATCTAATTATGTCGATGTGATGACTTTATTAAGGGTGACGTAATAGCCAAATGCTTGACCCAACAAAGCTGAATAGGTAATTTTCACAAGAAAACAGAGGTCAAGACCCAGAGGGACCAAAAAAGCAGAAAAATAATTACTCGACAATATCAACACTTGATCGGTAAAAACAGTGGATAATTTTATTGCAACATCATAAACAAAAGTACCTGATACTCAGCTCGTTCTGCAAGCAGAAGCAAGACTTTGTTGATCTCACGCAAGACAAGGAGAGCCAAACGTGCATCCATCTGAACAGCTTCTATTTCTTCCTGAATGCGTGATACGATTTTCGAGATATGTTCTTTGGAGGGGACACTTCCACGGCTTGACACTGGAAATACAGTATTAACAAGATCTGACAGGCGGCTTAGGCAAAGGGCTAAGAAAGCTGTCTGATATATCTCAATAGCAGCAACCATTTGATCTTTTCCTTCTGAAGAGACAGCTGGAAGAACTCCCTTGACATCTGTATCACGTGAAATCCTTTCAAGAAGGCTTTCTACCATCGAGAAGAGCTTTGGATATCCCATGGTGAATATCTCTTTCACAAAGCTTGATGCAGTAAAAACAGACTTCATTTGGCTAGCAAAAGATTTCACAATTGCCTCCCAGACACGATCTGTTAACATAGGATCACCTTCCTAATACAGAAAGTGCTAAAATGAGCCAAAATTAAAAAAAAAACAAAAACAACCAATACAAATAAAAACAATAAGAGAAAAGAACAAAAAAAGGGGGTATCATATGGGTATGGCATCCAATGAAGAAAACAAAATGAAAAATAAATTACCGACATCTTTAGCATCACCAGATGGTGAAAAGGCATCCTAAAATAAGAATTTCAAGTGTGAAATTTTGAGCAAACCCAAGACTCCAATCCCCACTATAGTGGAGCACTATTCAGCAACATGCTAAGAGTAAACTTGACCATGAAAGTTACACCAAGCTATGTCAGGAACAGCAAAAGGCAATAGCACCTTAATTATATTGCACATGGAAATTGCATTAACTGAATTCACACAATACTGGCAATTAAGCAACATAGACTTGCACTAAATCCCTTGATTCAAGTCTACTATAATTCCTAAAAGAACTATAGTAATAACTGTTATAGTGTATAACATAAATATGAGAGACCTATATCATTCTCCACAATTGCCTTGATGAAGAAAATTAAACCTCAAGTTTATGCTTTGCAATCTTCGTGTTCAATGAAGAAATACTAGGAGAACTCAGATAATTGCATCATATTCATATTCTTTAAGCTTATAAATATGTGATTTTGACCACTCGGTTTTTTTTCCATACCTAATTCTTTTAAATTGCAGCAGGAACAGTTTACTCAAAAGAACTTGATATAAGTCCATCACAACCAATCAAATACCCTAGTAAAAAAACATCAACCTCAGAAAGCAATTGACTTTTTCCGTGTTATTACTTCAGCAACGAGCAAGATTTACATACATAATACTATTCCTTAAGGATCAGTAAAGATCTTAAAGACTTCGACACCAGCTTTTTGTAGTTCTATTATCTAACAGCAAGTAAGGAATTCAACGAGCCTGATTTGTATTATGTGATTATGAATTGAAAGCTTGACTGGTGAAGATAACCTGGTGCAGAATATAACCAGAAGATTTAAGCATCTCAGAAACGATGTGAAGATTGAATAGAAATTGTTCCAAGTAGAAGTTGATGAAGGATCAAGAAGGGATACAATCAAGATTACTGAGAGATATTGTTTCACAAGTTTCTCTATTGGGGTTGGGCTGGGAGGTGTTTCTTGGCTTTGCACTGTGGTTAAGGAGGCATGTGCATGGAGAAGTTCAGTAGCAAAGCATATCATCTTTGGATCGGAGATTGGTGTGGTGGATTGATGGAGGTAGATCAAAAACACTTTGTATCTGCAAAACTTGTTCCATGCCAAAATAAGGATGGGAAGATGTGAAAATGATTTCATTCCAGCATTATTCAATGTTGCATTCAAAGGAAACTGTTATCAGATTAGAGTCCAGGTAATTTCGAGCCTTGGAGAGGTGGTAATCAACAGACAGAGGTTTCGAATGCTATATGATACCACAAAAAATTGATACACCTAGGAGGAGGTAGAAGACGATGACGTGGTCTTAGGGCTGCATCGTGTGGCTGGCCCAGGGTTACCAAGATCGACAACACCATAGGCGACCCACGATCTAGGTCGACCAAGACCCCAAACGGGTACGTTCGCGTCCCAGTTCGGTAAAACAGCGTCCCCAAAGTTTTGCCCTAGCAATGAAGTACAGCCCCCCCCCCCCCCCCCCCCCCCCCCCCC